TCTGAAAATTAAATAAAAATAAAGAACAGAAAAAATTTGAATGGCAAATACAAAACTGAAATAACTGAGAACAAACAACTCTGAAAATAGCTCAAAAACTAAATATCTCAAAAACTCTTTAAAAATTCAGAAAATATAATTTTCAGATATGAAGTAATGCTGAAAATGAAATAACTAAAAACCAAATAACTTGGAAAAAAGAACATAAAAATAAACAACTCAAATATAAAATAACTGAAAATAAATACCTGTGAACATAAGCAACTCTAAAACTAGATAACTAGGGGAAAACCCTTAATTAAAGCATTTCAATCTGAAAATAAATAACTCTAGAGTAGTTCAAAAACTTCCAGTGAGTTTTTAATAGTCAAATTAGTTACTGTAAAAATAAATAACTCAAAAACTCCAATAAGTTAAAGTGAAATAACTATGAAGGTAAATAACTCAGATAATAATTGTAAAGATGATGAAAAATAAATTCCAAGCAAATTAATTTGAACATCTATAACTCCTAAAACAAAATGGCTACATATAAATAACTGAAAATGAACAACTCGAAAACTAAATAACTTTGAAAATAAAGTAACTATAAACCAGTAACTGAAACTATAAAATTAAATAACTAGAAAGCTACAAAAAATTAAAATCAACCAATAAAACTAAAAATAAAATACAACTGAAAATAACAAAACTCATTTAAAAACTAATAAATCGATATATAAAATATCTCAGAAAGTAACTTGGAACGAACTTCTCTGCAACGAAGCAATCTTGGCACTAACACGAACACCCCATGAACGCTCGCAGGGATTCTGGGAGGGGGACCTGGAGCTCTCAGTCTGCGGCCCCCGCCGGGTTTGAGCAGCTCCGGCTCCTCCAAGGCTCGGGCTAAGCGGTTCTCAACCGATTCCCACCCCGCCCTGGAGAAATGTGGGCGTGTCTGCAGGCATTTTTGATTGTCACAATTTGGGGGTGGGGTGGAGGATGGGGTGGCGCATTCCTGGACCCTAGCGGGTAGAGGCCAGTGATGCTGCTAAACATCCTACCGTGGGAGCACAGAGAAACCCACACAACAAAGAATTGCCCGGCTCGGAATGTCAAAGTGTGCGGTTGAGAAGGCGTGGGCTGTGGGCTCTGCAAGCGCCTTAGAGCAGCTCCGAGGTCCCTCGTGCGGAGCCAGGCGCTCACTCAGGGCACCCCTCGGGCTCCCGGAAGGCGGCCCTGCGTCCCGTTTCTGTCGCCGCCGAGGCCCCGTCTGCTTTCTGCGTAGCTGGGCAGGGCCCGGGCCCCCACACCGCCTCTCCTGGGAATGCGGGCGCTCTGGAGCCGAGGAGCGGGGACGTCCGCAGGAAGGTCAGCTCTCCGGGGCGGAGGTCCTCGGGCTTCGTGCCCGCGCCTGGAAACCAGCCGTCGCCCCCGCAGGAGCCAGCCGGCCCGTGGACGCCCCAGCGCGCTCCTCCTCGGTGCTGCGGGTCGCCCTGTAATTCCAAGAAGAAAGTCAGAGACGCCGTGGCCCAAAAAGACGCTTAGTCTTTCCTCGTTCACACTCACGTTTCCTCCTCATCGCGTTCTTCTTTTTCTCCCTGGGTGCTTTCTCCCCTCTCCAGGAAAGCAGATTTGGAAGAACAGGTTTCGTGACTGTCGTCCGACTGGAAAAGGCCTGCGAGCTGGAAGGGAGGGGACGGGTGCACCCTCAGAGTTATTGCTGGAGGCTGTGGCCAGGCCGGGCAAGGTGGTGACTCCCGCTGGCAGGCTGCGGCCCACCCCAACCCTCCCACCTGGGCCACGGGGCTCCCAGCAGGAGCCCCAGTTGTGACCGGACACCAGCGCACTGCCAAGGAGACAGCCACGTGGGGACGTGCCAGGCTAGGAGGGTCAGAGCCACCTTGAGGGTCTAGTGACCTCGGCTCCCTGGCTTAACCAGGTCCTTATGGGTGAGAATCCTGAGGAGGGGGGGAGGGATGGAGGCGAGGGACAGGAGGCAGGAGGAGCTGATGAACAGGAAGGAGGAAGAAGATGAAAGAAACAAGAGGGAAGTAATTACACTCAGAGCGCTGCTCTCCTTTTGCATGTCTTCTGCACCTTCACAGTCTTCAAAGGTGTCCATGGAGCTAAACTCCCTGCTGGAGCAGCCTTCGGGAGAGAAAGGGAAGGATGGGGCCCCTGTGGGGTGGGAAGACAGCCCCTCTGCCTATGGCAGGGTGTAGCAGGCAGTGCCTGTTGCAGGCAGGGTCCTCCCCATCTCTAACTCCTGATCTCCCAGGGCCTGCACTGCGCTGGGCTATGAGGGGGTCTGTGATCTCCAGGCTGCGTTTCCAGCTCTGAAATGCCATACTTCACAGAGAAGACCGTCCACATGCTGTTCATGGCCCTACCTCCCTGTTCCTCCAAGAAAACAGTCATTGTTTTTTGTGTTTGCCGGTCTTCTAACCATGCCTCCTTCCCTTCCTCCTCCCCTGTCTCTTTCTCACCCTCCTCTCCTTGCCTCCTTTTCTCTCCCCTAATTAATGTCCATTTCCCATCTCCCTGGCAGCCTCTGCCAAGTGTCACTGCTCCCCATAAGGGAAGATCAGAGGAACATGCAAGTGCATCCATCCTGCCTCTCTCTCCAGTGAACTGATAAACTCATCAGTCTTGTCCGTGGTGCACCTGTTACATCCCCCGGAGGTGTTGGACACTGTGGGGAACAGCAGCCACTGCCAAATGCTGAGCAACTGCCCTGTGCCTGGTGGTATGTTAGGCGTTTGTCAAAGTTTAAGCCTCACAACCCTGTAAGGGTCTCAGCCCCCTTTACAGTTGGGGAAACAGACAGCAGTGGTCACTTGGCCAAATCCTCTTGGCCTGTGGCAGGGCAGCTGGCTTCTCCAGCACTCTTGCTCTTTACTCCACTCTGAGTGAGATGGAGTCTCTGCCCCACACGGCTCACAGGCGAGGGTAGGGAGCCGAGCATCTGCAGAAAGGTCCCAGCACAGGGCAGCCCCAGACTGAGGCTCAGCTGAGTAATCCCTGTGGCGGAAATTGTGCAGGAGAGTGTCTGCTCAGGCGAGAATTCAGGGAGGTTTGGGCAGGGCTTCAGGGGTGGGCAGGACTGGAGAAGGAGGGCATTCTGGGCAGAGGCATGGCCGGAGGGCGGTAGGCGGCAGTGGAGGGAGCTGCAGTTATCTGGGTGAGCAGGCAATGAACAAGTGGTGTCTCCTGGGCTGCTGTCCCAGGTCCCCTACAAGCCATGTTCTGGGCCCCGGCCCCCAGAGCAGATCAGTGGGGGCTGTGTGAGTAACACGGAGGGGGGGGGGGCAGCTGGGCAGCACCTCCCAGGAGGCCCCTCTGAAATCCCCCCTGATGGTGGCAGGCTCTGAGGAGGCTGGACACCCTCCTCTCAGGTTGAAGCAAGTCCTGGTTAAGTTCCTAGCCCCCAGAGGTGGGAGAGGCGAGGGGTGGGGGGCAGAGGAGAAACTGCCTCAAGGATGTGCTCCCCACCTTCATCCTCCAGATGGGACTTGGGAGCATCTGAGGAAATCCCAAGACTCCTCTTTAGAGAAGTCCTCCAGCCCTGGGGTCTCCTTATGCCAGGAGCAAGCGGTGAGAATGGAAGAATGATCGTCTTGCTGAAAGCTCTGTGAGGGAGGGATAGAGGGACAAACGGAGCCATGCTCTTGACCATCCCCTGCGTGAATAGCAAGGGCTGTGTCTCCAGGGTCCATGGCCTCTGTGCCCTGGATGATGCCGGGGCTGCCAGGGACCACAGAGCCACCCACTGGGAGGTTGGGGGTTGGCCTGGCTCAGGGGCCTTCGTCAGCCATACACACCCACAACCTGGTGTGGGCAGGGCTGGGAGGCAACACAAGAACTGGAAAACCTGACAGGCTCCAGCCCCTCTGGAGGGTAAGTGGCATCTCCAGGTAAAATGATTAGCTGGTTCCAGCCCCTCCTCAGGGTAAGTGGCACCTGGGGTAAAATGACTGCCTGGAGCTGGCAGCTGCTTTCCCTGCTCTCGCAGGCCCTGCAGGGAAGCGTGGGAAGGGGAGGGGGCACAGCGCTGGGCACAAAGGGGCTATCAGACCCTGGACTGAACTGTTTCAGGGGTCATCTAGCCCATTCCCTGCCTCCAGGCAAGGATTTGCCTGAGCCTGGAAAGAGGAAGGATCCTCCCAGTGCTGTCAAGCCCCAGATTCCACCTCCCTGTGGGGGGACTGTCAGCGCAGGCCCTGACAATGCAGAGAAAGACAGAGGACCCACGTGGGCCGGTGACAGCAGGAACGCCGGGTGCCACAAGTGAGGCTGGGGATGCCTGGAGCACCATGGGGGATCTGGGTTAGTCTACAGCCAGGTTTTCCATACTCAGAGTGCAACCTCAGGGAGACGCAAATTTTACCCCCTAACACAGCATACACGCAGAAATACATTTATACAATTCAAACACAAGCAGACGAAACAATGTTTACCCTTACAGTGTGTGAAGTCCTCATCTGTCCCACTACATCCTATCATGCTCTCTTCTATCCTAGGAGACAAAGCAGGAGGGGGGCTGCGGAGGTGGGGGAATCTCATCCAGGCCCTTGGGCGACATCTCTCCTGAGCAAACTGCAGCTGCTCTGGGTGTGCTCTCGCCTTGTCTCCCCCTAGGCCCCGGGTTCCTGGCAGCAGAGACGGTAACCTATTGACCAGGTATCTCCCAGGGCTTCTGGAAGAAACCCTGAATTCTCAGAACCAGAAAACCTTAGAGAGCACCCTGCAGGCAAAGCCCCAGGCTCTCTGGAGAGGAAAGTGCGGCTCATGGGGGTGCCCTGCCAGGAATGGTAATTGACCACCAGGCTGTGGGCCCTGTGGGGACTGACACAAGGCCCTGTGGGAGCTGAATCAGGGCCAGGACCTGGGTGTCCTGACTCCTAGAGACCATGTTCCCTTCCTCACCCAGGCCTTCCAGCCCCAGCCCTGGGCTTTTATTTATTTATTTTGGAGACAGGGTCTGGCTTGTCACCCAGGCTGCAGTGCAGTGGTGTGATCACGGCTCACTGAAGCCTTGACTTCCTGGGTTGAACTGATCCTCCCACATCAGCCTCCTGAGTAGCTGGGACCACAGGCACATGCCACCATACCCAGCTAATTTTTGTATTTTTTGGTAGAGATGGGGTTTCACCACATTGGCCAGGCTGGTCTTGAACTCCTGAGCTCAACTGATCCTCCCGCCTAGGCCTCCCACAGTGCTGGGATTACAGGTGTGAGCCATCGCACCCAGCCCCTGGGCTGACTTTTGCTGTCGTACATCATCTGCATATTTAATCCCCTGCTGGATTCACTGGTCATGGGCTCTGAGGTCCTAAGAGTCTTAGGCACTAAGGAGCTGGCAGCGCTGAAGAGACCCCAAAATCTCAGACTCAGGGTCTGGCCAGTCACAGGCGCGTGATGGAACAACTGCGAGGCCCATTGCCCCACGGCAGGAGAAGGTGCTCTGGAGTCAGTCAGACCTGAGGGCAGTCAGACCTGATTCTCACTCTGTCACTCACTAGCTGTGTGATCTTGGATACATCACTTAACCTGTTGAGCATCAGCTTCCTTATGTCTAAACTGGAGATAATAACATCGATTTTGCAGTCTTGACATGAGGATTAGCAAAACTTCTGATAAAGAAAAATGCCTGGTACATGACAGGAATTCAACAAATAGTACCTGTTATGATTACTGTGCATAGCAATTACAACAATACTAAAGAGAGGGTCTCAAAACAGCTCTGGGCACTCCAGGTGTGCTATTATTACTTACATTTGGGGGAGGTTTGTCTGCCATTGTCTCGTCCTCATAAACACTCAGGGAAGGAAACAGATTATAAGGATAATAAATGGTTTTAAAAAGAAACAGAGCAAACACACACACACACCCACACACACCCCTCAGAAAAAACCATGCCAAACACACAGGCTCTTGACAAATATTCAATTTGATTATAGCAAAACCGTTGGTTTTTTTTTGGTTTTGGTTTTTTTTTTTTTTTTTGAGACATGGGTCTCACTGTGTCACCCAGGCTGGAGTGCAGTGGCGTGATCTTGCCTCACTGCAACCTCCACCTCCCGGGTTCAAGCAATTCTCCTGTCTCAGCCTCCTGAGTAACTGGGACTACAGGCACACGCCACTACACCCAGCTAATTTTTGTATTTTCAGTAGAGACAGGGTTTTACCATATTGGCCAGGCTGGTCTCGAACTCCTAACCTCAGGTGATCCACCCGCCTCGGCCTCCCAAAGTGCTGAGATTACAGGCATGAGCCACCATGCCCAGTTGATTACAGCAAAATTTTAAGTGATAGTTGCAGTCTTGGAAAATGAATAGAACGACTTTTGTCCCGGCCAAGATCTAGTAGTGTGTTGGGGCAGATACACCCTGAGTCTCTGGGGCACTCTCAGTCTATGTATCAGATAAGCATAAGGAGTATTGGTGGAGAAGGACAAGAAGAATGGGAAAGATGGGCGATGAGAATTCCTGTAGATAAGGACTGGTGAGTATTCTCTTTCGAAACCCTTAGTTGACAATCTTTCTAGTGCACATCACATAAGCTGAATGGCTTTTTTATTTTGCTTAAACAAACAGAATGAAATTTATTAACAATGAACCTAGTAGTGAGCTGAAATTATTCTCACCAGCATACATATTTTTGATAAATTATAGACTTTGAAGACAAAATCATGGTGTTTCCCTTACTGTCCACTGGATGGCACAAAGAGACCATTGTAGATCCTCCTGGTTCAGCGGTAGCTCTCACCTGATAGACATTAAATGGGCAAATTCTATTTTTATTGTCTTTCAAACTAGATTTTTCTCTATGCACTTTTTTTTTTTTTACTTTTTTTTTTGAGATGGAGTCTCGCTCTGTCACCAGGCTGGAGTGCAGTGGCACGGTCTCGGCTCACTGCAACCTCTGCCTCCTGGGTTCAAGTGATTCTCCTGCCTCAGCCTCCCGAGTAGCTGGGACTACAGTAGCGGGCCACCACGCCGAGTTAATATTTTTGTAATTTTAGTAAAGACAGGGTTTCACCATGTTGGCCAGGATGGTCTTGATCTCCTGACCTCTTGATCCGTCCACCTTGGCCTCCCAAAGTGCTGGGATTACAGGCGTGAGCCACCGTGCTTGGCACAACTTTT